GGATGCCTGGGTCATCCAGACCAGTTTAGCACCTAGCTCCTCTTCATGGAACTATTACATACAGGCAAATATATGTTATGGGGCCTTGACAGTCTCTGATTACAAACAAATGCTATGTATGTATATTTTAAATTCTGCAGTGTTACTATGTTGGACTGATAGAGTCAGGAGACTTGTTCCATATTACACTCTCAGAACTAGGATTTTTACAGCCTCTTTCAGAGGCAGCGTGGGCAGTAATTGCTTATTCCTGGGTCTGGGATCTCCCACAACTGCATCCAGCTCTGAACTGAGATGTGCAAGCCATCCAGTTAGTAGAGTAAGCAAGCCATGTGGTACTGAGCGCCCAGCCAAGGATAGTTTCAGAAAGCCAGGCATTGCCGTGCGTTAGCACCTACTGGAGTACAAAGCCATCCTTCCTTCACTCGAGAACTATTGAGGCTGCCTTATTCTTGTTTGTTTTTTTTTTTAAGATGTATACTAATTTATTTTCACATGAGCATGGGTAGAAATTAGTTATTTTTGAAGGAAAAAAATGCAGAAATAGATAATCATGTAGATATGTACATATATATATATAGTTTTTCAGCTTATTTTCCCTTATAGGTTGTTATGAAATATTGAGTATAGTTCCCTGTGCTCTACAGTAGTCCTTATTGGTTATCTCTTTTATACAGAGTAGTGTGTTGTGTTCATCTCAAACTCCTAATTTATCCTCCCCCTTCCCCTTTGGTAACCATGTTTGTTTTCTATGTCTGTGGGGCTATTTCTGCTTTGAATATAAGTTCATTTGTATCATTTTTTTTAGATTCTACATATAAGTGATATCATATGATACTTGTCTTCTTCTGTCTGGCCTACTTCACTTAGTAAGATAATTGCTAGGTCCATCCATGTTGTTGCAGATGACATTATTTCATTCTTTTTATGGCTCAGTAATATTCCATTGTGTAACTATTCCACTTCTTTATCCACTCATCTGTCAATGGAAATTTAGGTTGCTTCCAGGTCTTGGCTAATGGAAGTAGTGTTACAGTGAACATTGAGATGCACATAGCTTTTCAAATTGTGGTTTTCTCTGAATACATGCCTAGGAGTAGGATTGCAGGATCATATGGTACCTCTATTTTTAGATTTTAAAGAAATTTCTATACTGCTTTTCTGGAGAAGGTAATAATAATAATTCCTGCTGGCTCAGACGGTAAAGAATCTGCCTGCAATGCCTGAGACCCAGGTTCTATCCCTGGGTTGGGGAGATCCCTGGAAAAGGGAATGGCTACCCACTCCAATATTCTTGCTTAGAGAATCCCACGGACAGAGGAGCCTGGCAAGGTGCAGTCCAATGATCACACAGAGTCGGACTGAAGCAACTTAGCACGCACACACACATATTCCTCTCCATGGTTGCTGTACCAACCGACTTTCCCACCAACAGTGTAAAAAGGTACCTGTCTCTCCATACCCTCTCTGACATTTATTATTTGTAGACTTTTTGATGATAGCCATTCTGACTGGTATAAAATGATACTTCATTGAAACTGTGATTTTCATTTCTCTAATAATTAGTGATGTTGAGCATCTTTTCATGTGCCTTTTGGCCATTTGTATGCCTTCTTTGGAGAAACATCTATTTAGATCTTTTGCACCCACCCCCACCCTTTTTTTTTTTTTTTTGAGCTCTATGCACTGTTTGTATATTTTGGTCATTAATTCTTGTTGGTTGCATCATTTGCCAATATTTTCTCCCATTCTGTAGGTTGTATTTTTATTCTGTTTATGGTTTCCTTTGCTGTGCAAAAGCTTTTAGTTTGATCAGGTCCCATTTGATTATTTTTATTTTCATTAATTACTGTAGGAGACAGATCCAAAAAGATATTGCTTTGATGTATGTCAAAGAGTATTCCACCTCTGTTTTCCTCAAGGATTTTTATAGCATCTGTTTTTACATTTAAGTCTTTAATCCATTTTGAGTTTGTTTTTTGTGTATGATGTTAGAGTGTTCTAATTTCATTTATTTGCATGTAATTGTTCAGTTTTCCCAGCACCATTTATTGAAGAGACTCTTTTCTCCATTGTATATTTTTTAAATTTATTTTAATTGGAGGCTAATTACAATATGGTAGTGGTTTTTGCCATATATTCACATGAATCAGCCATGGGTGTACATGTGTCCCCCATCCTGAACGCCCCTCCCCCTCCCTCCCCATCCCATCCCTCAGGGTTGTCCAGGTGACCAGCCCTGAGCACCCTATGTCATGCTTTGAACCTGGACTGGCGATCTATTTCACATATGGCAATACACATGTTTCAGTGCTGTTCTCTCAAATCATCCCACCCTTGCTTTCTCCCACAGAGTCCAAAAGTCTGTTCTTTATATCTGTGTCTCTTTTGCTGTCTCTCATATAGGGTCATTGTTACCATCTTTCTAAATTCCATGAAGTGAAGTGAAGTGAAGTCGCTCAGTCGTGTCTGACCCTTTGCGACCTCATGGACTGCAGCCTACCAGGCTCCTCTGTCCATGGGATTTTCCAGGCAGGGATACTGGAGTGGGTTGCTATTTCCTTCTCCATATATATGCGTTAATATATTGTATTGGTGTTTTTCTTTCTGACTTACTTCACTCTGTATAATAGGCTCCAGTTTCAGCCACCTCATTAGAACCGATTCAAATGCATTCTTTTTAAAAGCTGAGTAATATTCCATTGTGTATATGTACCACAGCTTTCTTATCCACTTGTCTGCCGATGGACATCTAGGTTGCTTCCATGTCCTGGCTATTATAAACAGTGCTGCGATGAACACTGGGGTACACGTGTGTATGCCCAGGAGTGGGATTGGTGGCTCGTATGGCAGTTCTATTTCCAGTCTTTTAAGGAATCTCCACACTGTTCTCCATAGCGGCTGTACTAGTTTACATTCCCACCGACAGTGTAAGAGGGTTCCCTTTTCTCCACACCCTCTCCAGAGGCTGCCTTATTCTTAAGTGCAAGTCCAAACTGACACTCAAGGCCCTCCCCAGCGCTCTTCCGTTCGCTTCTTAGCACTCTTCCTCTGTCCCTTCCAGCAAAACTGAACTGTTTATTATCTTCTGATCTTCCTAGCTGCTTTGCTTTCCCACTTCTGTTCCAGCTGTTCGTTGAGCCTGGAGGCCCCAACTCCATCCACCGCCCCCACCCCCCGCCTTGCTCTCATTTCTTTCCTTACTATTCTTATCCCATCTCTGTTTTTTTCATACCCAGCCATCCACTGGGGACTGTTTGAGTCACGTCATTTTCAGCTTCTGTTCCTTTCAACAGAATGGGTTCTCTCCCTTTTGACCTTCCCGGCGCTTTTCTTGTGTGTCCGTCGTCTGCTGCGTTATGGTCCACCTGGCACTGTTACTTTGCTGGGTACAGCTCTTAGTAGCTCCCTTCCCCCTCCCCCAGGCGCTGACCTCTCTGACAGTGGGACTTTTGTCCTAGACACTTCTATATCTCACCCAGTACTTAAGTGCCTTACTGAGTAAATATATTCGATTGTTGTGAAAGAGGCAACACAGAGAAGACAACATAGAGAAAACTCTCGAGTTTTCGTTACACAAATCTCACCCTTGATGATCCTGCCATAATGTGGTACAGGCCTTCCCAGTTTGTATTCTACTGGTTCTTTTTTGAAAAAAGAAGAAAAGATTCTGAGGTCAAGTAAATTTGGGAAACTTGCCTACCATACTTCTTTCTGAGGACCTGCAGTCCATAGAACATGTGACCAGTAGAGGAGCCTGTTTTAACTTGATTAAATGCACATCTGCCAGTTTGGCCTCAGAACTGTGCTTTCTATTCTGTGTATGTACTCATGTCTTACACGGCAGTTCTGTGGGCAACTCTTGGTGGTGTAGACTGTGCTGTGCTCTCTACAGGGGACTGGGACAAAGGACTCCACAGTATGAGGACCAGACACCTTGGTTCTGAACAGAGAGCAAGGAATCCATCCAGATACCCGTCTTGTACCTGGCTGGGTTTAGGCACTTCCTCTGCCAGCTGCTGATGGCTTGTGGAAAGAGGCTGATTCTTCATGAGAATATAAGAACAGACTTGAAATCATGTTAAATGAGTCTTAGGTGAGGCGCCTGGCTTTTTTAAAAGGTGCTTTTCAAGAATATTATTCTCTACATGAAAGACAGAAAGGATCTCTGTAACCAAATGAAAGAGATTCTGAAGGTCTCTTCAGAGGAACATCTTTTTCACAAGGATGTGTGGTCCATGGAGTGGCTGGCCTGCTACCTTCGCCCAGGCTCCCATGGTGCTCACCGCTGAGCAGCTGTTTCAGAAAGAAGCATGGGCTGCAGGTGTTCGGGAAATCATAGGATCCCAGAGCAGCTCACAACCATCCCGCAGACTGGACCTTTTGTTGTTGTTGCGGTTTCCACTTAAAGCTCTATAAGTAGACAAGCAGGTGGAGGAGTTGTCGCCATGTTATAGCTCTTCTGCTCATTCAGCACCCGTCCTCTGTCCCTTTGGATGGCACTGGTCATCTCCATGGGCAGCCTCATATCCTGAAGACCAGTTGGAAGGCCTCAGCACTGAGGGCAGCTATCCAAGGAGTGAAGGGCCTGTCAGCCAACATTTCTTCCCCTTGTCCATCAGGACTCGGGGTGATGGGGTTGAGGTGGGGGACAGAAACTGGAATGCAGGTTTGTCCATCAACCAGTATTTCCTACAAACATAATCTGTAATTGTAGTATTTGGGGACTTTTTATGATGCAGAGACTTAATACGCAAGCACGGGTTGGAGAGATTGGTTTTATAATCTTGAACAAGGTCTCTCCTGAGGGACGTCCCTGGTGGTTCAGTGGTTAAGAATCTGGCTTACAATGCAGGGGACGCGGGCTCAGTCCCTAGTCAGGGAACTAAAATCCCATATGCCATGGAGCAACTAAGCCCACGTGCCACAACTGAGACCCTATGTAGTCAAAGAAAACACCAGATCTCTCCTGACTGTGTGCTCTTCTGGTCTGTCCACAGTTCCTCAGCACGTTGTTTGCCCCCTTAAACTTTGTCATGGAAAAAGTGGAGAGCATCCTGCCTTCCAGCCTGTGGCACCAGCTGACTCGGATCTAGGGGAGCCCACCCGTCCTCCCTGTCACCGCGCCCAGCAGGTGCCACCGTCTCCTTGTGCCAACTCCTCGTGGACCGCAAGAAAGCATGACTTTGAAAAAGGGAAGCCATTCCAGGATTTTAAAACCTTCATGAACTGTCTGTTCCATATTAAAAGCTGTTTTTGTTGTACAAAATTCACTGATGTTCAGTTCTATTATATTTTGCCTTCAGAAAAGAAAAAAAGTCAAAAATAAACTTTTGTGTATTGCAGCAACCAGTTGTGTCTCCCAACCCTAAAATCGTTGGTATCCAAATAAACCTATAGGTTACACTTAATTTACTAAGGCCCCCAAATCTGCTGAATGCCACACGATGGTATTCTGAGCTGAGGGGCTCATTTCAGCAGGCCATTGGTACTCTTTGGCTTGGAAAATACACTCTCTTTGGCTAAAAAGCACCATCTTTTCAGCTCCAAACTGTGTGCCCTCATAGGCCAAATATGCAAAGAAACTTCCAGCATGAATGACAGGAAGCATGAATGAAAAGTATGTGCCATGACAGGTAGTTCTGGTTCACAGACTCTACTCACAGAGTAGAGCTCAGCACTGTGGTTCAAGGAATCATTTTGGTTCAGCTTTCTGAAATTTGTTGTGAGAAGAAAACTTCTGATGAGAAGATGCTAACCCGATAGTCTATTGTAGAACCTGCCCACTTTTCAACATTGCCATTTTTAAAATATTTTCTCATAAGGGTAATTTCTGTTTTTATCATCTTTGCATTCTTGATGCGTGCATGTGAGCGTTCTTTGAGTGTTTTCGTGATCTGAACCAAAGTGGTCGTTTGTCTTCACCATCTTTGAAAGCCTTCTCCATGAGTCACACCTGCCGAGCATGCATCTGGCTTTACTTAAGCAAAAGAGAAAAATAAATAACCTTGACTCCTCTTCTGAAGTGAAAAGTACCTCTATTCAGAATCTCAATCTAGTGCTTTATAAAAAGGACTGTCCTTTACATGGTTTGTTTTCCCTTTTGTTTAGAATCCTGAATCTTTCCCCATGAGCGTTACAGTAGGCAGAGTTGGGGAAAGCACCACACCACAGCCCCCTTGGCATTTGGACTTCCTGCAGCCTCCTGGTCTTCATCCCAGAGCAGAGTCAAGAGGCAGGTAATGTTTAGGTGCACAGGCCTTTTCATGCTTCGGGCAAGCTTTTTTCTCTACCTCCTTTGTGCAAAGCCACGGCAGGCATATGCAGTTGGCTCTTGCCCTATCTTGGAAGAAACTAAACCCTATATCCACATCAGTAGTGCTGCTCTTGGGGGCAGGGTTGTGTCTGCTTTGTTCACCTCTTTGCCTCTTCTTCCACCGGCACAACTCTTGACCTGGAGTGATGCTCAAATGATCTGTTGGACAAATCAATGTAATATATGATAGGTACAGATAAACTTTTATTCATTTTCAGAGTAACGAGATTGGTCCCAGCAGAGAAGGACCAGGGAAGCCTTAGAATTATAATTTGGTGCTAAAAGAAAAAGTAGTAATTATTTCATGCAGTTACTTAACAGATGAGGAAACCAAGGTCGAAAGAGATTTCAACCTGTTCAAGTTGAGACTGGCTTGCGATAAGCCTTAAGTGAAAGGTCCAAGAGCCTGTAGGTGATAGTAAGTGTAAATGGCCCAACACGAGTTGTTGTTAGAAACCCCAGTTGTAGGAAGTACAGCAAAGAAATGTAGCACACAAGGATCTAAAAGCACCTTGTGAATTTAATAATTAGGACTTTAGAGCAGAGGCCAAAGTTAGACTTTGACGGGTAAGGGGAGTGAATGGGAGAGGAAAAGGTGGTGAAAAGATGGTGACAGAATAAAGACTGCAGAGGGAATAAGAGGGAATAAGAGGGATTTTGGAGGAATGAGTCCAGGAGAGGAGCTAATCATGTGGGCTAATCCCTGTCTTCTGCCTCTGTCTTCAATACTCTGCTCAACTCTCAGGGCAACCATGACTCACTCTCACCATTCTGACCTCCCTGGGCCTGGACACCAGGAAGGTTGCTGTATTCCCAGTACCTGTCTTGCATTGCTGCCGCTGAGGACAAACATTCAGGTCTTTTTAAGGGTTATATGCAAATCTGTGGAGAGGCAAAACCAGAGCAACCAGTATGTCAGAGCAATTTTTAAGATGATTGATTTTACACAGTTCTTAAATTTCTTGCCTAAGCACCACATTTCCTGACTTCATAAGATGGCAACTGGAATTCAAGTTGCATTTCTGCCTTCTGCTTTTGTTTCTGTTTAAGGAGACATCAAAATCCATCCCAATGGGTTTTCCTCTGTAAAGACACTTCTTCCCAGCAGGACAGTAAGTGTCCCATGAACTCAGCTTATATGTGTTTTTTGGAATACAAATGCACACACTCTAAATATTAGCAAATTGGATCTAGCAAAATATACAAGATACAATGTGACCAAATGGAAAGGTTGAATTTTTTTTAACTTCTTTTATCAGTATTTAAGTATAAATATCATTCTGTCTTTATAAAAGAATTGGGGAGCTTTCCATATCTTTATATGGCTCAGAATAATTAAACACCAACATTACCTGCTCTTCACTGATTAGATAAAACTCAGACATGAACATCTAATTTTAGTGCTTTGTTAATGGTAGGTCTTTGACCATCATTTTACTATCTGTAATGGCAATTGGTCTATGCAAATAGTCTACTTTTTATGTTTGCCTAATTTCATGTTTGCTAGGAAATTAATGCTTTCTCTAGGCATCAGATGTATTACCATGAAGTTACCCAGGTATATCTTTTATTGTATATTTAGTCTGTCCTGTATTTGTGGTAATTTCACTTTTCTCATTCCTAACTTTGTGTATTTTTCCTCTTTCTCTCTTTTTCTGCTCTTTAATCATCTTCTCAAAGTTTATCTTAAAGTTTTTGGATCTGTTGATGCATTCTTACTTTTTGTCTTGTACTTGATTATTTCTTCCTGATTTTCCTAATTCCTTTAGATGAGTACTTGGTACATTTTTATATTATTTTAGGAAGGAGGTATTTAAGGCTATGAATTTTCCTCTAAATGTAGCTTTCTTGTTCCATAGATTTTGTTATTAAGCTTTCTTCACTCTTTGCTAGAATTTTGTGTTTTGGTTTCTTTTATCCAAGAGGAATCACCTTGGGGGCATTTTTCTAGTAATTAGTTCTCTATTACTGCTTTGAAGGGATTTATTTTTAATATTCCTCTGAAATAGCTTATCAAAATATCAAAGATGTTCAACTACTACCCCCAAATACAGTAGACCCTGACACCTCATATCCATGGATTACTTCTAAGTAAACTTTGATCCCTGTTTCCAACATTTTAAAAAAATTACATCTTGCTTCAGTGTAAACCTTCGGGGTGGCGTTAAAATATCTAAACCATGCCTATGTCTCTTCCACTGTTTCTGGTATTCTTACTCTCCTGCTCACGGCCATGCTCCTCACCACGCAAAACCAGGTTCTCATCACAGATTTGTCTTCTGCTCTGCAGTCATGATAGCTCAGGCTGTACCAGGAATTGAAATGTTAAAGAAGGTGGTGGGGGCTAGACAAGGGCTTGAAGGAACTCGTCTTGAAGTTCTGGCTTTTGAGGGTCAAGAATGGCTGAGGTTAAATGGGCATTGGCTGGAATGAGAACATCCAGGCAGAGGTGAATTAGCTCTCTATCAGGAATGCCTGGAGTGCTCAGGGGATGAAGACCTGCAGGTCTTCATCTTCATAATTTTGTCTCCTTCACTGTGAGTCTCCAGCAGGAGCAAAGGGCAGAACGGAAGCAGGTTTTCTTCCCCTCTTTCTCCAGTTTTTGTATTGACCAGTTTGTCTCTTGTTTTGATCAATTCAAGTCCATTTCATAGCCCCTTCGATCCTCAGCCTTGAATCATGTGTGTGACCAATCTTAGGAAGAAAATCTCTGGAATCAAACTCCTCAAGTGACCATCATCATCAGGCAAGCAAACTTCAAGTGGATCTCTTTTTGTCCAGGGGAGGGACAGTAGGTTTTGATTTTAGAGAATATGTAATATGTTCCTGAAGTCTGGTGGCTCTTGGCTTCTGTGCATATGGCTGTCAGACCTGATGCGCCTCCCCCAAACAGGCTCCCCACGCGAGCTTTGCTGCCTCCTTTCCGAGTCTGGGTACAGCTCGCAGGCCCATAGGCCACCCCTTGGTGCCTCTCAGTTTCTTCACACTTCCTCAGGTTACCCAGTCTCTGCAGTGGAAGCATGTCCTTCCAAAGTCAGGGCACTTTCAGCTGCTTTTCTGATTGTTTTCTGGGGCACAGTACTACAGAATCTGGACTCCTGCTTGAAATAACAGAAGGGAGGATGCTGGGAGAAAATATGAATTAACATCTGAATGATTATCTGCCCTGTAAAGCAAAGATAACCTCCTTCACATCCAGTATGAATTAGTTTCATTTGCTCTCTCATTCCTGTAAATGTATTGAAATGTGAAGTGAAAGTGTTAGTCACTCAATCATGTCCGACCCTTTGCAAATCCATGGACTATAGCCCATCAGGCTCCTCTGTCCATGGGATTCTCCAGGTATGAATGCTAGAGTGGGTTGCCATTCCCTTCTCCAGCGGATCTTCCCAACCCAGGGATTGAACCCAGGTCTCCTGCATTGCAGGGAGATTCTCTGTCATCTGAACTACCAGGAAAGCCCATATTGAAATGTATTGAAGACCTACTGTGTGCCAGGGGTAGAATCATGCTCTCCCCACTGCACCTTGAACTGCAGCTTTGATCACCATGCATTATTTGTACATTTACTTGCCTGTCTCATGCAAAGGAAACTTAAGTTTTACATTATACAGAGCCTTGGGATCTGGAACTGGCGATTCTGTATTCTAGAATATAGAAGCTCAATAAATGTGGGCAGGAAGGTAGGACAGACAAGATGAGAGAGAGAATGATGCTAAATCAGAAGTGAGTACCCTTTATAGAAGTCCAGGGAAAAGATTATTAAAAGGAAATAAAATGTATTTATTCTGTTCTTGGGATAGAAGCTTAATTAGGAGCTTTTGTGAAAACTTTGCGCACTTATCATTATCTCTGGGACACATTACTTCTTCTTACCCTATGTTCCCCAAATAATCCTTGTTCGTTTTTATGGTGTATCAGATACCTCATCAGGTCAGGGCCTCTTTGAGTCCTTCAAACCATGTGTGGAGTGGGTGCAGGTGTCCCGCCTCTGAGCAGCTGCTGAGTCAAGGAGCTGGGTTTGAGCCTCAGCACC